GAGAGGGATCCAGATCCACTTAGTTTTTACCACACTTCCCCTAGGATAGCCCCCGAATTCGTGAGTTGGATTGGTTTGGAAATTTGAACCCCTGGTTCTAGTGAGTACATGGGAAGCGAACCCCAAGAAACCACCAATCCAAACCACCAAGAGCGAGGCTCACTCGTCGCCTTGGCATTTCGTGTTCTTCACGGCGCATCGCATGTGCCTTCCGACAATCTGCGCACTCTGTGTCTTCTCGGGTGTTTGCGGAGAAGCTATGCGAGTGGTGGACTCAAAGTGAGAGCGCCACGAGGGCCGAGAGGTTTGATCTGTTCTAGCTGGTTGAGGACAGCAGGAATAGATCATTTGGCCGGTCAACACGAATGGGATCCCATTTTGGTTGGTAGGTGAATTCACCATTTTGGAACCGATTTTCGTGGGGATTGGGATGTTCACAGGGGGTACGGGGTTTTGACCCATAGCCATATGTGTCCAAAAAAGAACAGAGCGCAAACAGATCGCATACATAGATTGTCGCTTTCAGCCGGTTGGTGGCCATGGTTTTAGACAACCCATGTAAAGGTTCCTGTGGCATTCGTGACTATGACTTAGGGAGTTATGACCGTGGGAAGTTCACTCGCATCGTTTGGTCTGCCCTTTTTGGTGGTTTTGAACATCACCTTATGAAATAAAAAAGTGTCCCTGGGTGATGTTTGAAGCGGAAATCACTCGGGAGCCTTTTGGGTTTGCCTTCATCCCTTAAGATTTGGGACGACTGCCAGCTTCTAGTCCGAGCACCTGCCAAAAAGCTGACTCGTTGCCCTTCGGTCGAAGAGTCTCGCCGCTGGATTCCTCCGAAGCTTCCATTTGACTAAGAATATATTTTGTTTCCCTTGTTGGTTTTAAAGGGAATCTATGACTACTGGAAATATGTTCATTTTTCCCCAGAAAACTTAAGCAAATGAAGAGAAGCTTGCGAAGGCTGGGCTTTGTTTTTGAAGTCGAATGTGTACGGGCCACAAGACCGGCATGGCTGCCGGCTCGCATTAGAGATCCTTTGGAAAAAATCCATCCCGACAAACAGGGTTGGGCAATATGGGTAGGTCCTCAAATCTGGACGGTCGAGATGCGCTTCTGGATTCCACCATTGGATCCATTGCCGCATCCAAGCCGTTTCCTAGAGAGAAACCCGATGGGTGTGACATGTCTTTTTTGGGAACCCTTTGGATCAGAACTCGGTGGTGGGATGAATTTGGAGGTGGTTGTCCCCCATGAAATTCACAGGTTTGCGCCCAACCCTGGCAACCGCCTGACCTTTGAGGATCCTTTGCCGCGCCTTTTCCTTTTTTGCAGCGTGATCCTGAAGGCTACTTATACTCCCCCTGTGGTCTGACCACTTACAGTTTACACATGGGCCACTTTGATTTCTTCCTGCTCGACGTGATTGTCTTTGCGCAGCGTCTTCATGGTGTTCTAGGGGCAAGCAGCAAAAAAAGACCGCTTGTAGGTGTGTTCCTGCATTGAGCCTTCCGAAAGTTTGAAAAACTGGCCGCCATGACTATAGCCTCTGGGGTCATGTTTTATTAAAGGGGTGTGTTCTCAAAATGATTGAGCCCGTAGAATCGGATGCATGTTAAGGGGATGTGCGCAAACTTGTTGGGCCCGTAGAATCCGATTACCCTTCAGCTTCCCTTTGAATGCCAAAAGGGGGCTTCTCCGATTCAGAATCTCCCAGGGGGACGTGTAAGGACCCCTGATCCAGGAGGGTGTGAGAGGCTGCCTCTGGAACGAGGAGGCCCCCCCTGGGGTCTGGGGTGACTGTCGAGCTGAACGCTGCACGAACCGTCAACGCCCGCGGAGGGGAGATATGGGTCTGCCTACTTGGATGTTCAATTTGTCAAGTTAGCTTCTGTTGTTGGTATCTATCCGTTCCGTTACAACCCACTGATAAGTGCCCCGTTCAGTCGGGTTGGCCTTGTAAGGTGGTTACCCAACGCAGGTGGCGATCCCCGCTTAGTACCTTGGCAAATCGAACATCCAAGTACGTGGCGACCAATCTGAGGACAAAAGCGAACACTGTGCGCCTTTTTCTGGGGCGAACAATCTGGGAAGGAGCGGAAACCGTGGGCCTTTTGCTTGATCCCTGAAAGTTAGGTTTTCGGCATGCACTTGCCTTTAC